ACCAAACCCGCCTCCGCCTCCGCCACCGCCACCGCCGCCGCCACCGCCGCCGCCGCCGCCCACCCTGGGGAAGAATCGCGCAACCTCCGCCTCCATCACGCCGGCCCGCTGCAGCGCCGCCCTGAAGTCGGAGCGGAAGGCGTCCACCGCCTGCTGCAGGATCTGATGGGATCGAGGGGGCCGGCGCGGCCGTGACAGGGGCCGGGGCGTGGGGCCGAGGCGGGGGCGGCGGTCGGCGCGCCGCGACGGTCATATGCATGTGTGTGCGGACGGTCCTAGGCGGTGGCAGGGCGCTCACAATGATCGGCTGACACCTGCGATCCTGCTCCTGCCCGTCCCACCTTTCTGTGGAGCCCAACGTACACAGGCAGCACCATTCACAGGCAGCATCGCGCACGCACGAGCACAGCAGCGCACATACACACACACACACACACACACACACACAAATACACACACACATACAGCAGCAGCAGCAGAGCGGCCCCTTGTTGCACCTGGTCTTTGCTCATCTGCCCCGCAGCCACGCGCGCGATGCCCTGCTCAATGCGCCCCCGCAGGTCCGGCTTCCAGAGGTTGTCCAGACCCATCCGCCTGCACAGCGGGCGCCACCCGCGGCGCACGCGGCGAGGCGCGCGGTTGCAGCGCGTATGCACACCGCAGGCCCAGAGAAGCCAGCCCGCTTTCAACGACTCACTCCTCTCCGCCTGCATGGTACGCTCAGACAGCTGCCGTTGACATGGCAATGACTACTCAACGCCTCCACTCAAGCCTCCAACTCCACTCCCGCATCCGAACCCACCTTCAACCCCCACCCCCACCCTGCCCCCCTCCCCACCCCAAGTGATACCCTCCGACCTGTATGCGCTGATGAGGCCCTCCCCCAGGGGGGTGGGCCAGAACGTCATCGCCGCATCCTTGGAGGCATAGCCCCTGGGGCAGGGGGCGGGGCCCGTGTGAGAGTGCGCGTTTGTGCGTGTGTACGTGAGTATGTGCGTGCGTGCGTAAGTGTGTGGAGGCGTGCGTATATGCATGCGTTTGGGTGCGCCTGCGAGCGCCCCTGGCGCAAGCCAGGGCATCGTGCCTGACCTGCGTTCGGCCTCGAGGCCGCAGCCAAGCCGCCGGTGCTCAGCAAGCACACTCCCTGCCCCCTTGTATTTTCAACGCTCCTGCAAACTAGCGACAGCCATCCCTCCCCATGGACAGATGGCCCTGCACTGATGCACCCTCCCCTTCCACGGCGCGGCCCCCTAACCCAGACGCGCGCGCACCTGTCCAGCTGCTTCGATATGTGCTCCGCGACCGTGGCGTCCGTCCCGATGCCGTGGCGCTCCATCGCCGCGATGAGGTCGCGCTCGCTCAGGCGCGCGGGCGGCTGGGTGGCGCCCTGACGGCGCGGGGCGGAGCGGGGCCGGCGGGGGGCCGGGTGTGTTGAGGCGGCGTTCCCTGCGCACGAGCTGTGCAGCTTGTCGCGCGCGCACACACACACGCACGCACGTGCGCGCTTGAGCGTGTGCTCGCCCACCTCCTTCAGCAGCAGCTCTGTGGGCACAAACTGCTCCCCCTCCGCCAGGGGTGGCAGGTTGGCGTTGCCCCCCCACGACTGGTAGGGGTACACGTCCAGCCAGTTGCGCTCGGTCACCATAAGGCCTGGGGGTCGCGTCAAAGGTTAAAGGGAGCGGCAGGGGTGAGGCAGCAACGGCAGTGGGGAGAGGGGTTCGCGTCCCTCTGGGGGGGCTGACACAGGACCGCAGTTTTTGGATATAGCAGCCAGCTGTGCTGAGCCTGCTGGCCAACAGCCCGGCATCTTCTGTGTGTAGCATGCCCGTGAAGCAGCCTTCAATTCAAACTTTGCAGCAATGCCCATTGGTGAGTGCACGTGTGCGTATTCAGCTCCCCAACTTACACCCAAGCTGATACCCATGCGTGCGCACACGAACACATACTGTACATGCAAGTAACTCAGGCAGCAAGGCGCACCCACGCATTCATTGCATGCACACGCGCGCGCGCTTACATGATCACGCACGCGCACACACGCACGCACACACAGACACACACACACACACACACACACACAAAGGCACACACACGTGCATGTGCGCACCTGTCGTCCTGAATCCCTCCCCTGCGATGTCTATCTCCACCACCGTCTCCTGCCCAACGGCGTCCTTGGAGCAGCAGGCCAGGAAGTGCCGCACAATCAGCTCGTACACCTGGCACTTCTCTGTGGCGGGTTCAGGGGGTTCAGATGGGGAAGGTAAAAAGCGGTCAAGTTGGTGGTCGTTTCATGGAAGGTTTTGAACCGCAGCAACGTCGAGCGAGACGTGTCCCAGCTGGTAGCTGGGAGGACAGGGGGACCACATACTCGTTCCGAAGATGCTGCGCAGCTTCCCTTCTCAACAGCCGACTGCTAGCACCCTCTTGCCACACCCCCTCCTGCACTCAATCTCATGTGCAATCCACACTCGCTGCTGCAGCTGGCGCTGCGCCCCGCATCCCCTCACCGTGCGACCAGCCAACCTCCCCCGTGGTGTGCCGCGTCGGGTGGATGGGCGGGTGCGCCTTGTCATCGTGGCCGCCTGCACCCATGAGCGAATAGGGGAGCGGCGTGTCCAGTCTCATGCCGGCCGCATCAGTGATACTACGCCGCCCACTACAGTTGCAAAAAAACCACAACAAAAATTAGCGTGCGCGACCTCTGGTATTTCGGTCGGGGTGGCTGAGACTCGGCCGTTTCAGGGCTGCGGTCGCGGCGCTTCGTCGGGTGCAGTGATTAGGGCGGAACTGCGCACCCACCCGGCCTTGGCGGCTTCCACATTTGCCCTGCGGCGATAGCGGCCGCGTGCGCCCCCCAGCGCGCGTCGTTGCTGTGCTCCTGCACTATCGACTGTGGGAGGGCGAGTGGCGGCCGTGTTTGTTGCTTGGAAAGTGGGGCTTGGGCACGGGGCGTGGGATGGGGAGAGACTGGGCAGGCAGCGCAACAAAACTGTGCAGGCGACCGTCATAGGGCCTCTCCCTGCATCACCCCTACGCTAAGGTACAGTACCGCGATACCAAAGCACACCGCTGGGGGCAAGTTCCTGGCCTGAGGCAGGGGGCTGAGCACAAAACCCTAAACCCAGGGCCACTGACCATCAGGTCCATCCCTGGGTCAAAGGCGTCGGTCTCGGTCCTGTTTCCCGGGGTGGAGGGTGCGGGGGCGCCAGGTGTGACGAAGGTGGGGGCGAGGGGTGTAAGGCGCGCGTGGGTGGGTTGGGGGAAGGCTTGCTTGTTGCTATCAAGGGCGGAGGCTGTGCTGAATGACCCGTGCTCTCCTCCTTGCAGCTCTGGGGTGAGGCACAATTATCACCCACACCACGTTGGCTTCCAACATGCGCGCACCTGCGCTTCACACCCCCCCCACACACACACACACGTACACACACGCGTGTACCCATGCACCCACGCGCACGCGCACACGCAAACATACATACGCACACATGATGACCATTGCCCCGCGTGCACCAGGCCGCGCACCTGGGGTATGACACAAACCCTGCCTGGTACAGCTCCTCCGCCAGCTTCATCAGGCGCTCGCCTGACCAGGCACAACAAACGGCAGCAGGGCGCGGCGCTCAGATCAGGAGGCAAGTGAGAGGCGGCAGGCGGCCGGCTCGCGGGCGGGCACCCTGCGCCGTCAGCAAAGGAAGCGAGACCCTTCCGCAGCTGGCGCGCGCCGCGGGGCTTTGATGCTGGCGGCCGCGGCGAGCGGCGCCGGAGGGGCGCCCGGCGCCCAGCACAGCGGGCCAGCGACGCTGGGCGTTCGCACGCGGACGGCGTCGGCCGATGTGCGCGCGCCAGGCGGGCCGCGCGGCAGCGGCAGCCGCCGCCCCCCACCAGGAATCCTGAGGTACTGCGTGCCGCGCTTCTGCATTTCCAGGGTGGCCAGTGGCGACGGTGCGTGCCGCAGCCGCTGCGACCCTCGCACCTGGCAGGCACGCGGGCGTGCAGGCGGGTGGGCAGGCAGGCAGGGGGG